CATTTGTTGTGATTTCTTTCCTTGGTAAACTTCAAAATACAAATTTCATTTTTAGTTTTTATCCATTTAAAAATACAAATACATTATTTCAAAGTGCAGTAAGTTTAAAATAACTGCCAGTTTATAGTGGGTGTTTAAGAATTGTCAACAATGTTTTACAATAACACATAGTTACAATACGTCATTTTCAAATTTCCTGTCAACTTTAACATTTTTTTTAACAAACATGGTGGGCCGCTGGTGGGCTGCCAAAGCGGCCCTAACACTGGGCTTAGCCGGTTTTCTGGAGGAAAACCTGCGCATTTAATTGCCCATTAAAGGATGATTCCTWTTTTTAAGAGATGGGTGGTAACCAGTGGTGGGCAGTGCTAATTCAAACGGTTAGTTGTGCAAGTTCTAAAGTGCTTACATTCAATAAATCTTAGCGGAAGCTAATTGTAAAGCACAAAATTGACTCAGAGTTCACTAGAGTAAATTCCAATGATGACATGAACCACTCTTGGATAATACTGCCAACTACAGGCACATTACTTTACTTTTACAGCAGTTTGGGGAGGTGATTTGTTGGCTCATGATACAAACAGTTTTTGATGATTGCTATTTATCTGCTTCTTGGTCATTTTCATCTGTTTATGGTAGGGCTTCAATAAGAAAACATGCAATATATTAGTAATTTTAAATGGGAAAGCAGAACTGCAACTGGTGTGTTGGTAGAGAAGGACTGGGACTGGGAGTGTCGCCCATTGACGTAACTCCAGTTGCTTTCTGCCACAAAACGCAAAGAATTGTGGGAATTGTCTCCTAAAGGAAAACCGTGACACAGGAGGACAGAGTATGAGAATACACTGTTATCAGAAGTAGTGCAGTTAAGTTACAATGATTTTGCATTGTATTGATTTGGGATAGCTTTCTTCCTCTGCTGTGTAAGATAATTATGATTGATACTTGATGAAAGAATTAATGTAGCTCTACTGCAATTTTAAATTTAGAAAGTGTAAATCTGCATGCAGTTCAAAATATTTAGCAAAAGCCCTAAAGTGTAAACAAGATTTTTAGGTCTGCAATTAGCACTATAGCGCTTTGGGGAACTAGTGCCCACCAGGTGCGGCCCTGGGCTGTGGGTGGGCTCGGGGCTTGGACAGTTGCTGGGGGCGGGGCTGGCTCTCCATCCTCCCTGGTGCTGCTTGGTCTCCTGAGGTGTGGCTCTTGGTTCCTGTGGGTGGCCCCCTGGCCGGGCCTTGGCTATCTGCTCTGTACATAATGTGGCTCTGCTCTGTACATAATGTGGCTGTGTGTGTGTGTGTGTGTGTGTGTGTGTGTGTGTGTGTGTGT